CAAACGGTATTCTTAAACAATGATCTTTATTGGTGTTATAAACAATATATTTAAAATGAATCCACAAACGGTATTCTTAAACAATGATCTTTATTGGTGTTATAAACAATATATTTAAAATGAATCCACAAACGGTATTCTTAAACAATAATCTTTATTGGTGTTGTAAACAATATACTTTAAAATGAATCCACAAACGGTATTCCTAAACAATGATCTTTATTGGTGTTGTAAACAATATTATTAACAATAATATTTTATAGTGTAGCAAACAATAAAGTTTAACATTATTTCTATAGGAATAACGTACAATATACTCAAACAATGATTACTGATAATTAAGAAATCATCACTTTATAGAACATGATACCTTTAGAAACCACGTTTTCCATACCGTATTAATGTTCCGAATTAAAAAAATTCCTTTGTCTTGAGAAATCTTTTATGTTTTCTTCGTGTGTGGAACCTGGCACGTTTGAAGAAATTTTTCCTTCAGATATATCATTCACATTTGTCCAGATTAACACAATAAAAATTTTTGAATGTGAAATGTTGATCAGTATATATATATTGGGTCCGAATAATTCTGACACACAATTTTTTTTTTAAATCTAATAATTTATTCAAAAGCAGGCCTAGTGACTCGTGTACGGCTGTGCTTTGGTCCAATAGAAGTTAGTGTAAAATGATATGGCTGTGCTTTGATACAATAACTCCTACACGACTGTGGTTTGGTATGTGTCAATAGACCTGGTCTAAAGATGAGTTTCCACCACCTTGTCCACAGGTTCAATCAAGAGTGGAAATAGGGAGGTAGTGTTTCTTTGCTGTTCGGTTCGTTCTGCAGATGGCATATTATTACCAGTGGCCAGTGGCTTCGGCCGAGTTGACTGCACGACCTTTAACCTGTGTGTAGCTATTGCTGGAACTGAACAGTCAGAATACTGCCTCGGCAGGGCCCGACCGTCCACACCACATATCCCACTCTTCCACGTGGTCGAAGTTATTGGAGCTGAATAGCGTCGCTTAATGGTGGACCTAGCAGGATGGTTGGTCCTGTCTACCTCCTGTTTGTATAGGTGACGCTGCAAGAGAAACTTGAAGGTGTGTCGCAGGACTCGACTTTTCACACCGTAAACATAGGCATTCACGGTGGGAACGCAACCCAGCATGATCGTTGTCACGGAAACTAAGATGTCGCTTCCTTCTTTTCCAGTTGCAGCTTCCCAAATCATAACACTAAAATAAGGAACAACCAGCACCACTACCGATCCGACCAGCTGTACTATTGTAAAAAATGCGTTTTTGCCTTTAAACTTGGACAGGTAGCAAGGGTTACGCTGGTGAGTCACGGTGGCTTGCGCGCGCAGGGTCACTTCGTAAATGGCCGTAACTATTCGGTGGCGGTGGTAGCGAGCAATGTTGAAGATGTGTAAATTACACAACAAGATGATCAAGACGGGAACAATAACGGCCAGCGATACGTAGATAACAGCATAACTCAGCTCAACGCGTGTTCCAGTGGTGCACGCGGCAGCACACGCGCCGCGAGGGTCTCTGTAAACGTAACGACAGGTGTCAAACAGTGGAGGTAAGGCTAGGACTGTTCCTAACATCCACCCGCCTGCTAAGAAGATCACTGCTCGTCGCGTGTTGACGAGACGCGAGTAGTGTAGGGGCGTAGAAATGGCGGCGTAGCGGTCACAACTGAGTCCACATACCGTCCACACCACAACGACGGGAAGCAGTGTCCACAAAAAACCATGTAAAGTACATCCCACAGGAGTAGATTCGATAGGCATCATGGCCCCAAAGACGCAGGGGGAGATGAGGAGCACAATACAAAACACCGTGTCCACCAGGGAAAGGTGGAGAAGAAGAACGTTGTTTGGTCTCTGAATGTGACCCTGATTATGCCATAACAACACAATCATAATGTACCCGTTAAACACTAAGCCCAGAGACGCGGTTACGCATGCACATATGATGTGTATCACGTGAGGCATGGTGAAAATTTTTGTAAAAGTCGTCGCTATATTTGTATCATCAATAAAATCGAACACAATTTTTTTTTTTATGTCCACACGTCAATTCTTATCGTTATGTGTTTCAACTGCTCTTAGTTAAACGAACAACTTTATACACCTTTCAATAATTAGACGTACATTCTCACTCAACAGTTCTCGTACTGACTTTACAGAAGCAGATAACTAAACATTTAGCATTAGATATGAATTACAAACTCACACATTTTCTTGCGAGGTCTCAAAAATTCCACGCTTATTTAAGTAGCGAAATTGGCTTTACGTGAATCTTCCAAAGCACTCCCGGACATTCTCCCGAGTCGGACACACGGTAACGTCGGCGCGTATCACAGTTTAACCTTCAGTATACAGAAGACGCTAAACGTGACAAATTATCACTCATGGTTAAGTTTCAAAAGATCTTATAGCGGTTTTAATTATGTTGTTTACTTTATATTCTTCCCAGTATTAGGTTAGAAAATCTTTCAAGTTTGAGAAAAACGATGAAGCTAACATTTTCGAGTTCAAAACAATGGATGATTGAGGACAAAACCACAATTATTGGTTTGTTTTCATTCTTTTGATAAATTGGTATAGTAAATGATGCTTTCGGTATATAACAGAAACAAACAAAATACCGATGTCTTGGGAAGGTGACAATGACTCCAAATTTAGGCTAGGATCTACACGATCTCCAAGTTTAATCTCTCCAAATATACACGATCTCCAAGTTTAATCTGTCCGAATCTAGGCTAGAATCTATAGGATTGTGGTACTGTTGTTATATCTTTGTTTTTACTCCAAACGTTTAGTTTCAGACACAGGTTGTTGTCATTTCTGTGGCATGGAGGATGTTGCCTATTAAGTCACGCGCGTGCTCACGGTCTGTGTTGTCACTTTATACGTATTATCGTATTCCTTTGAATAACAAAGTGCCAAAACGTTTCAGGTAAAAAAAAACTCGAGTTATTAATTTTTCTTCTTCTTGAAAAACAACATACAATAATGAGCAGACTAGAACTTTAAAAAAAAAGTTTCTTGTTCTCACTGGTTCACTCGCGTTGACAGAATGATTAATATTGATTCAGTGTCAAAAAAATTAACACTTTTAAAAAAAATATAAAATAAAACTCAAGTTGTAATAATTAACTACGGAACGACAGAACGGGAAGGGAACACGTATAGAGAGAGAGAAGCATCGAATATTCGTCCGCTGTAACGGAGCTCACGACCGCTCTGGGTCTACGTCTCGTCCTCTTCGTTACGTCAGCAGAGCACGGCTGCGTAACAACTGCAGAAACCGTCGCTGTTCAACACACATATACGCGGACGCTAGACGTACTATTTATCTATAAAATATCAATGTCTATACCTCTCGCTCCTAATCGCTATCATTCTTTTTACTCAGCACATACCGAGTAAACTGAAGGCGTATCTCTCATTCACACGACACACTGAAAACAAAAACTGACCAGTCCTTTCAAAGTATGTGAAGTTGACAAACGCTTTGGGGACGGTGGTAAGCTGCCTGGTGGTAAAGACTGGAAACGGTAATACAAGTTTTATCGTTGTTGCCCTAATATAAGAGAGAAAAGTAAATGACGCCCAAGAACGAATACAGGATAAATATATATTGAGACCTAAGCATAACAGAATGGCCATTGGTAGTACTTTGCGCCGTTCTTAACTTAAAGTACGTTGTGTGTCGTATAAAAATGTCCTATAAAGTCTCTTTGACCGCTCATTGCGGCATGTCCTTCAAGCGGAACGGTCTCTTAAATGATAACTTAATGACGTTTCTCAGTGAGTTATAGCTGAACGAAGTTGGCAGAATGAGGCTAACTTCTGGCAAAGAAGAATAAACATACTTCTAAAAACCAGAAAGTTAAAAAAAAAAATAACGTTCACCGAGTCATGATATAGCACTCAGTTTGAAGTAGGAAGTTTTCTTTACTGTCTCTCGTTTGATGGAAAAATGTGAAGTTTTAGAAAAACGCGCACAAAAACTTTTTTTGGAAACATTATACGACAGAGAAACGGTGACTCATTTCTTATTCGATCAGCTAATTCAGATTCACGTGACAATCAATTTTGTCCATTTATTCAACTACGCGTTTTTGATTACTATACCGCCCCCCAGTAGCACAGCGGTATGTCTGCGGACTTACAACGCTAGAAACCGGGTTTCGATACCCGTG